GCACGCTTGACTTGGGGAGTAAGCTGGTGAATGCGTGACGAGAGCGTTACGAAAAGTGTAGTCGGGAACGGAAGTTGTGACGGAGATATAAGTTAGTGAAGATAGAAAGAGAGAGAGTTACGTTTCGTATATTACTGTAGGGGCAAGAGAGGTGCAAGCACACATTTTCTTTCTCTCTTGCTCTTATTGCCAGTTACATAAACATATACATACATATAGATGGAGCTAAAGAAGTTTTACTTCAGTCGTGTGGTCTAAAGTGTGTGGTGTGGTGACGGATTAAGAATACAGAGAGTCACCACCCCTATTCATCTCGTGGGTGTCGTATGAGTCGACTACGGAAGCAAACTACGCAGAACAACAGCACTGCAAAGAGAACGAAAACTTGATACAACCCTCTTTTTTTTTTAACGTGTGGAAATCCCCTCGGACCGTCACCCTACCGGGGTTTGCGGTGGGGTGGTGTGTCGGACTCGGACCGACTAAAACCACACGGTGTGCCACTCTGCGCCTGTAATAGGAGGGATCCGGCAACAGCTGTTATTAAGACATCCGGACCCCTCCTAGCGCCGGCCCGCTCCAGTTGCGGGCCCCGTCTCAAAATTGTTCCTCTCTTTAGGCGACGTCCGGCACACGCGGACGCCGCCCCCTTTTTTTTTTTTTTTTTTTTTTTCCGTGCGGAAATCCCCTCGGATACCACCTGTCGGTGGCATGTCGGACTCGAACCGACTAAAACCGCACGCCGTCTCGGGTACTAATAGCCGGGGAACCAGGTATACCCTAGAAAGGAAGTCCCGTATACCCTAGAAAGGAAGTCCAACCGAAAAATACCCTATAAATTTTGATTGCCTGATGGCAAAAACTGCGGTATCTCTTTTTTAAGTTTAATTAGAAGTTTGATTTTTTCACAGCTTCAAGAGACTGTAAACCTGACCTGTATATCGTTTTAATTTCACCTAGCTCCTCGCGTTCCTGAGATAAAGGGTCTTACCAGACAGACGGTCGAACGGACGGACGGACAACGAAGTTGTCCTCTAAGAGTTCCGTTTTTTTCCTTTTCAGGTGCAGAACCCTAAAAAAATAGGGTACTTTTGATAAAAAAAGAAGTACTGGAATGGAAGAAATAATAAAATTTGCAAATAAATGGTGAAAATTTTGAAACCAATTTTTTTTTACAAAATAATAACTCCACACATTCACAGACGGCCGTTTGATATTAAACTAGGCATAGCCTGTACCATGGTAACCAGACTATTAATAAACGTTCCTACATAGTCCTAAATACATACAAATTATAGATTAAAAACAGCTGGCAGATCAGGTCACCAATATAGATCGGACTGGACCTTTGGTGACCAAGAAGATGACCAAGAAGAAGAATAAATGAAACACATCCAGATGTAAAAGAAATGATTGTGCTCATCAAACAATTATTTTCCCTGGGTAGGAATCGACCAATACACCAAATTCAAGTTTTCAACTCTCTGTAGTAAAACCGCCGTAAACTTGGCCCTCTTGATGGTTAGCGGGACGCGGTGGAAATTATATCTGAATTTAATATACATGATAAAGAGGTGATTTTATTAAAATTACTGAATAAGTATAAAAAAAATCGGTTGTCTGTAAAGTCGGTTTACTGACGATAGTTGAACGTGACAACGTCATAAGAAAATACTGATGGAATGGTTGCATATTTCAAAAGAAAATTTTAATTACGCTTCATACTTGACGAAAACATGTAAATGTATTATTGTATAGCAGCTGTCCACGCGGTCACATCGCTGACTCAAGTAAGAGAGAGACAGATGTCGAACGCTGCCGAATGCGGAGGCCGATTGTGCCTCTTTGTCGCTCGTTCCGCGCTCTCGCTTGCACTTCAAGCCTTAAATGGAACGCCTCAGAGCGAGGTAACGCCGCATGCGTCATGTTTTTTCGTGCGTGCAGCCGGCTCCATCGAATTATAAGACGTTGTCACGTCAAAATCTTACAATTAATCATAAAAACTTACAACAAACTAAAATTATAATACGTTGTAATAAATTCTTTTATTGCATTTGCAATTTTTATTGCATCGTGTGTAGATTAAATGTCAAACCAATTAATCTGAAGATATCGAGTTTGTACATCGTGTCGTGTATAGCCGAGCGCATCACCCGCCCCGCGTCCCGCAAACCATCGGAAGGGCCAAGCTTACGGCGGTTTTACTATAGTTATGAAATTATATGAAACGGAATCAATTGTTTTCAACGCGTTAAAACCGCAGACAAGAGAAAACAAGGTTGTATGTTAAACAGTGTTCTAGCTATTTTATTATGTATATGTCGAGAAACCACAACATTATGTTACGGTGAATAGTTGACATTGAATTTTAGTGGTTTGGCTTTAATCAAATTCGTTAAGGTATTGACATTTAATTGTATCATATTATATCAGAATGTTTAGTATTTTGACATCACACACATCAAATCAATCACATTAACAGCCTTTACTAGTCCACTGATGGTCATAAGCCTCTCTTTAGAAAGGAGGTTTTGGCCTACTATAGCACGCTGGACAGACATGTTGGTATAGGGTTTGTGTCAGTTTTCCTTCTCTTTGCAGTGCTATTATCCTGCAGTTTGCTCCCTTTTTACGACTCTTACGACACCCATGGGATGAATAGGGCTGGTATCATTTTAAATCCGTCACCGCACGTCACGTCTTGATTGAGCCCTAACTACCGATAACTTGGTATCTGTACCCAATACCGATGGGACACTGTTTTTTATATTTTAAATGTATTTTTTTGTAATATATTTAATAATGCAATTAATATGTATATATAATTTAATAAAGGGAATAAAAATATGGTAGCTTTGGTGATCTATAATCGCCCGCTTCCAAGTGGTTGAGCATTATAAAAAGAAATCTGTCAAACGAACTTATGGCCACTATTAAATAACCTGATACTTATAATAATGATTTGTAAATTATTTTAGAACATATGCATTACACATGCTTTGCGCTATCATTTTAATAATATGATATTATAAGATAAAGTAAGAAAGTAAAGAAGCTAAAATATGAAATAAAATTATATATAATACTAGCTGATCCGGCAAACGTTGTATTGCAACAAAAAAAATTAGGGATGGGTCACCCTTACCATTCAAAATTGTGAATCTAAACCATTCCCAGATCCCCTTGAACACACACAAAAAATTTCATCAAAATCGGTCCAGTCGTTTGAGAGAAGTTCAGTGACATACACACTCACAGAAGAATTATATATATAAAGATAAATTATAAAAATATGAAACCTAAAATAATATTTTCAGACATCTGACACACAAAGCAGAACTTATAGTAGGAAAGCTTTTTTGTAAATACATAGAATATTATACATAGAAAACACCTATACTCCGAAACAAATATTTGGAGATCATACAAACATTTGGTCCGACCTAGAAGTCGGACCCGAGACCTCAGTGACGACGATTGCTGTAATCGTATACGCTACCACTGCACAAAAGAAGCACACAAGAAACTAATTAAATCTACCTAGGTATATTACTGAAAAGACGAAAATTAAAAGAGAATAACCATTGTGTAACAGCAGTATTGCAATAAGTTTTAACGTACAAACTGTGTCATAACTAGGCACTTTGGACGAAAAGACTGCGCGTAATAACCGAATCGGGACAGCATTTGTTATGTTAATCACTTTTAAGTTTCGACAAAAATTTTGTTTGTTTTAAATGAATCCACGTTTTGTGTAGTTCTTTTGCCACGGTTCTTCAAATTAATACAATAGGTTCTCTATATGTATTTAATCAACCGTGTTAAAAGTGTATGTTTATAAATAGACAATATTTCTTAATTGTTAACACATGTAGTAACTTTTTCAAAACCATTTCTGAAATCCAGATATATACATGGCGTTTACCAATCGTGCATCTGGTGGTAACATTACTACAGCTAAAAATAAAGTTAAAGTTTAAAAAATGAAGAACCGAGTGTAAGATTCTTTCGGCTCTTACCCGAAGGTAAGTTTCTGAACACTTATTGTATTTATATTAAGGTTTTATAAGAAACCTACGTTGTAAATATCTTGACATAATCTTGTCAACTTGCGATTACCGTCCGTTACCGTTTATTTAAAATGAGTTATTTTATTATTTAGGTCTTTGTTATTAAAAAAATGTTATAATCATTCATCATCATCATCATCAACAGCCTTTAATAGTCCACTGCTGGACATAGGCCTCTCCTTAGAAAGAAGGTTTTGGCCTACTTTGCCACGCTGGCCTGACGGGTTGGTATAAGGTTTGTTTCAAGTTTTCCTTCTCTTAGCATCTGCGTAGTTTGCTCCCTTAGTCGGCTCTTACGACACCCATTTATGTTTAATTTTTAATATACTCCTAATAGACTCTGTTGTGCTAATTCATACAACGTTAACCAACTAAAATCAATAACCAATCTGCGAATAAAATTGTTAAAAATTAAGGGATTAAAAAGGTTGTTAATTAGTTGGCAATTTCACATCAATATGAAATGAATACGAAGTATACTATATATACACTAGCTGACCCGGCAAACGTTGTATTGCAAACAAAAAAAAATTAGGGATGGGTCACTCTTACCATTTAGGGGTATGAAAAATAGATGTTGGCCGATTCTCAGACCTACCCGATGTGCACACAAAATTTCATGAGAATCGGTCAAGCCGTTTCGGAGGAGTACGGGAACGAACATTGTGACACGAGAATTTTATATATAAGATAAGATCGTTAATTGGATTTCATTGTACTGGATAACTCTCAAAAAATAGAAAAATCAATTGATACAACAATGGCATTTATTTACAGCGCTCCGAACGGTAATATATTCGTACAATAGTGGTGGTTTAGTTATAAAGCTTCTGGCAAACAATTTGTGTGAGATTACCAGGTTAAACACAGTTCTTATAAATTTGAATTAGAAATCTGGAGCAACATCACTGTTCATCAGGAGTCCAAAAATCAGTACCATTGTACGTAAGCTGCAGACTGGTATTGTGGAACTGTCGTGTAGACGTATACTGGTGCACGGTCTTCATTCTTGTACTGAAGACGAGCGGTATACGCCATGTTTCTGATATCGTTTTCTGTTTGGAACTGTACACGCTGGAGCTGAGAGTCAGGTAGCAGGACGTAATACACACCTTGATTACTAACTACCTCAGCGTCCTGCTTTGGCTCCTCTGTAAGTTTTTCAGCAGCCCCTTCTTTGGGTTTCTGTTCTGACTGTTTCTCTTCAGCTTGATTCTCAGGTTTTCCAGTTCTATCCTCAACTTCTCCTTCCTTTTCTGGAACACCATATTCGGTCTGAGGAACGCCATATAATACTTGAGGGGATGTGTAAGACATTACTGGAGCACTGTAGCTATCGTCAGGAACACCATAGGATGTAGATGGAGGAGCCACTTCTTGGCGTGAAGGTAAATTAAACTCTTGACTTGGTCTGTAGCCAGCTGCAGGATATGGAGCTGCTTCAAAGTTATTAGGCTCTTGTTTTTCCACATCAGCTTCAATTTCTTGTCTCTGGAACTTGTAGAACCTCTGTCTAAATGGTGGTTCTGCTGTAACCATGACAGCTAACAACAATACACAAACGAAAAACTTCATTTTGTTCTAGTTTCTTCGAGTGACTGGAGACGAATGATGCTGCGTTAAAATCCGCCGTCGCTTTTATACGTTTCGAGTTTTCAAAATTTCCGTGATCCCCGGATGTGTCATCTCTTCGAATGCGATCGAAATTCTATGCGTGTGAACCGCGACATTGGCCTCCTCTCCGAGGATCATTGGTTGAGTAAGAGTCGTCGATTAGGACTTGTCATTGTTTGTATAGACGTGATTTGCCTACTATTGTAATGACGTTTACCTGAGAAAATGTAGTGTAATTAACATTCATGAAAGAGCGCTTGCTTTCTTTTGTATTTGGTAACTAGTGAATTACCTAAATATTAAAGTAGAGACGATATTAGCCTGTTATTTAATTTTAATATCTTTAGTTTAAATCTTTCAAGTTGGTTTTAAACTAACTCTTTGCCCGATGTAGTGATTCTATAAACAGAATTGTATCCAGCCGTTAATAGCCAGTTCATGGTTTATAGTATGTACTTGAAATTTCATACTCGCATGGGATCTTTGAAGAGTAGGAAAACTTGACACAAACCATATACCAACCCGTCTGGTCAGCGTGGTATTGTAGTCCGGTATATAAAGCAGTGGACAATTATAGGTTGCTGATGATGTGATGTATGTGATTTTTAGATTATTTTGTTTATTTATTTTTAATTTTATTTTATTCTTATGCACAAGTATGAGTTGTACAATGTCGAACTTATAGAAACACATATAGAGTACGAAAGCATTATAAATTTAAAAGCTTAAGTTTTGAAATAATATGTTTTATTAGATTATAATGTACGTACATATAAAACTATCGGGTTACAGTATTGTTATTATTTTATCTAACATACATACATAGGCCTCTCCTTAGAAAGGAGGTTTTGGCCTACTATACCACGCTGGCCAGACGGGTTGGTATAGGGTTTGTTTCAAGTTTTCCTTCTCTTTGCAGTGCTGTTGTCCTGCTTAGTTTGCTCCCTTAGTCGGCTCTTACGACACCCACGGGATGAATTGGGGTGGTGACAATTTGTATTCTTAATCCGTCACTACACGGACAGAGATATTATACATAGAAAACACCAAAATTCCTAAACAAATATTTGCAGATCATACAAACATTTTATCCGACCTGGGAATCGAACCCAAGACCTCAGCACAGCAACACACACTACCACTACACCACCAACTTTTTTATAACCTGTCACGGTATAAAACTCTATACAGCGACAGGTCAAGTTATACTAATTAATGAAATAACACAATACATTAAAAGCAGTCCAAAAATGACCGCCGGGTATCTTATAGAAGGTGAGTAAAAAAAAGATCACCGCAATAATGTTCATCTATTCTCAAGACAGTAGTGAGAATCAAATGGATTAATAAATATTAAAATGATGGCCTGGTTATTATTCCTTCATACTAATATAATAATAATAAGTTCACACATCTCACACACGGCAGTCTGATACCAAACTAGGCAGAACCTGTGCTATTATAACCAGCCTGCTGATAAACATACCTACTTAAAATATGTTTCTAAATACATGCATATTATGGACACAGAACAAATGATGTTGCTCATCACACAATATTTGTCTTGGGTGGGAATTGAATCCACGACCTCCGGCTTAGCAGTCAGGGTCACTAACCACCAAACGAACAGGCTTGTCAAATAAACATACTAATACATAATAATTTTATATACTATGTAATTTACCAATACAAAGAAAATAGAATAAAAATTGTATTTTTAAATTGAAAGTAATTGGCACCTTGATATGTACAATAAAATTAAATAAATTCTTGCCCTCTAAAGCGTCATGTAAACACCTAACGTACTGTCCCAGAATAAGAATAGGCAATAGTATTGGGTATGCATGTCATTCGTCCATAACATGCCAGCTGGCATCGAAAAAGTGTCAATGTAACACGCGAAACGCTTAATTTGTTATTGTGATGCAAAAATAAACAAATAGTATCACCGTCTTCTAGAATAAAAAAAAAGAAATGATATTTTTAGTTATTATTAAAGTTTTTTGACGTATGACGTATGCTTTCGGAGTGTTAGGATAGACCCACGACGACGGCACGGAGAAGGTAGGTAGGTTGTTTCTTTATGCAAACCAATGCTGCATTTATCTTCAAAAGTATTTGACTGATTTTGATGCGGTTTTCAATAATGGGTTAGTGGTTAATTAGTGATGGTTTTTGACAGTTATGGTGGCAACTTATTAGGTGGCGCTGCAGTAAATATTTTTCCTTAGTAATTTTTGTTCATTTTTGTCCAGTTGGATCGTCCTGTCAGTTTGTAACTTTGCAGTATAACTGCAAACTTACATGTGTGTGGTTTACATGTCAATACTATGAATTGGCAACTTTAAGCTGATCTGATGACGAAGCCAAGAGGTGGATACTGGAACTCTTCAATGGCTACTGGCAAACGCTTCGGGTTTGGGCTCGTTAGATTGGTTTTAACGAGCCCTTTCATTACGCATAGTGGCGAATGTCTGATGATGGAGCCAAAATGATTACTAGTAAAATATTTGAGTTTGGGCTCATTTAATTTGTAATGACAAGGTCGTTCATTAGCCAGGAGGTAACACTCATTTTATATTAGTTACTACATATTAAATAAACTCAATAGACATCGATAGGTAAGTATTTCTGTAGAGAGAAGTGACGTAGGAACTCTAAAAATACTAAATAAAAATTACTGACTGCACGGATGGCGTAGTGGTTTAAGCGGTCGCCACGCCGCTTCCTACTACGCCGAGTGTTGTGGGTTCAAACCCCACATGGGACGACACTTTGTGTGATCCACAAATTGTTGTTCTGAGTCTGGGTGTTCTTTGTGTCCGTTTCATGTATGTTTGTAAAGTCCCCCGCGACACAGGATTTATTCCTAATGCGGGAGTTGTCTTTTTTAAAAAAGAAAAAGAAAAGAAAAAGAAAAAGCCCACGTCGAAAATGGTCTTCTCTCTCTATCTCTATCTTTTCTTCTCTTTGACGACTATTAAAGAACTGCAGCTGAAAGTTTTGAACATCTTATTTTCAACTGATCTCTTTCATTCTACGTAATGGTATCGAGTTACAACAAAGTACCAGGCAAAGTAAAGTAAATATGTAGGTGTACATAATACCATCTCTATTTCAAATTTCAACTAAAATGAAGATATCCTGTGTTACATTATGTCATCGTAAAACATCTTCAATAGTTGTATTCACGTTATTATAAAACTGCAAAACTTTAGTTCATTTAAGGGTAGCTCGGGCGGATATCCTTTGGTTATTTATTAAGCTCATAGATAGTTAAATATGTTATTTATTATATCTAAGTACATCGATAGTAAGTATATCTTCGAGAAACAAATAGGCACGTAAGAAATGCTATGAAAACTAATAAAAACTCCATTGTTTATATGACCGACTTCACGTGAGATCAACTCTATTACAAACAGCTTTTTAATATAATCTGGTTAATTTTTCATCCTTTTTCGATCGATTTAACCGTCGTTGGTTTTTTTCATTTTTTTTTAATAAAGAACTTGTTATCGTTTTATCAATTTAAAGTTAGCCTGAAAGGAATTATTTAGATAAGAAAATCCTTTGTAAATATTTAGCTGAAGCATTCCTTGTAAGAATATTTTCCGGTATTCGTTAAAACTGCGTAGGCCGTGCGGCACTCGCCTGTTTTTATTTTATTGTTATTCAAAGACCTTGGTTTAACAGCAAAATAGTTTCAATTTTTGTGTGACTACACTTTAAATTGGATAGAGCAGTCTTCACGGGGACCATGATAAAATAATACTGTAAGAATAGCTTAAATCCATTTCGTTATTAACACTGAATCTCTGAATCTTAGTTAATTTATGTTTCAGATGGGATTTCATCGTTCTCTTTCAATGATTTTTTTTTTATGTTAGAGGGGGCAGACGAGCAGACGAGTCATGAGAAGGAGTACGCTCTTTTCTTGAAGGTTCTGAAACACTACAGACGATAACCCGTTCCACAGATTGGTTGTGCGGGGCAAAAAGTGTCTCGAAAAGCGCACAGTAGTGGAGCGCCAACTATCCAGGTGATGAAGATGAAAATGTTGCCGTGTGGAACGATGGCGGAAAGTTGCGGTTGGTATTAGTCCGAACAATTCCTCGAAGCACTCTCCATGATATATGCGATATATTATATTATTTTAGTTTATACGTACAACGTATAGCAATGTATAGTTTGGGTCTGGATAACGATATGTAATTATGTAAAAAGAATTGACCTCTTACTGAAACGATGACAATACTAAGTTACTTTTGTGTCTTTTGTGTTGGATACACAAAAGATTTCTCATGTATCCATGACGGCTACCAGTTGAGACGGATCTTAATAAATTCATTTTTTATCTACAACTATTGACAATAGACATTTCAAGGTTTATTTGAGACGTTTCGAGACATTATTATTATTCTGTGTCATCAATCGTCAATGATATACACCCAAAAGAAACATTGCATGTTCTGAGGCTAATATAAAAGACTAGCTATGAAACGCCTACATTTTGCTAACATTTTTAGTCATGCTCACGTAACACTTACTGCACGAATAGCGTAGTGGTTTAAGCAATCACCTCGCCGCTTTCTACTGCACTGAGTGGATTCGATCCTAACATAGGACAACACTTTGTGTGCTCTACAAATTGTTGATATGTGTCTGGGTGTTCTTAATGTCCGTTTCATAAATGTTTGTAAAGTCCTCCGTGGCACAATATATATTCTTTTAATGCGGGAGTTGTCTTTGTTGTCTAAAAAAACGGGCACACCTATTGTCGCCAACGAAGCACATTTATTTCTAAATAAACCTAAAAATTTCACCCAGACACAGAACAGGGGTTTTTTTTTTTTAAAGACAACTCCCGCACTAGGAATAAATCCTGTGTCGTGGGGGACTTTACAAACATACATGAAACGGACACAAAGTACACCCAGACTCAGAACAACAATTTGTGG